TGCTGAAGGTGGCAGGAGAAGAACACAGTGTCTTCACCAGCATGTGCCAGCGTCGCTCACAGGCGTGGCTTAGTCAAGTCTTCCCAAGGCTGAGGTGGGTGTTCTGACTCCTGACTAAGAGAGGAGAGAAATCCAGGACTCTGGTGGCCTGTCTGAATCCACAGCCCGGGCTGCGGCGGGGCCTGTGCTGGCCAAGCTCCGCCTCTCCGCTCCTCCCCTGCCTTCCTCGCCTCTCCTGGAGCTGCTGCTGCCCCTACGCGAGTCAGCAGGCTGCGGCCTCCCTGTCCCGCATCCGCTGCTGTCACGCGGCTCTTCCTCTGCCCAGACTGGGTTCATCTGTCACACAAAACTCGCCGCCCGCTTGCCGCACCTCGACACGTGTGACTTGGCCTTCCGGCAGGACCTTTGCTCACTCGCGTTGTCCCCCCCTGTGCAGCAGGCGCATGCCAGGTACCGAGGCAGGTGCCCTGCTGGGGACGCCCCCTGGTGGGCACAGTCCTGGTCCTTAATCCAGCGCTCCCTCGGGGCCCTCTTCCCGCCTGAGCGCCTGCATCGTTTCCCCGAGGGCCAGCCCCTCTCTTCTGGAAAGCCCTTTCCTTTTGTCCGTCTGTGGTCTGTAGCACTCCTTGCTCCTGCTTTTCCTCTTTACTTGGGCAGAGCGCCTTCACATGCTCCCCTTTGCTTCCCACACCCTTGTCCTAAATGTCCTTCTAGCGGCTTGCTGGGTATCTCCTCTCAGATCACGTGCAGGCTTTGTGATACCACTGCTTTCTCAAGAAAGCGGCTTGCCACTGGTTGCCCTTGCTAAGAATTTCGGAGGCATCATCAGGCCTTTGTCTTCCTCTCACCATAAAGTTTGGCGATTCTGCTTCAAAGAAAGCATCCCAGTCAACCAAGTTGCCAGCCCCTCGTTAGCTAATACACAGCAGTCACTTCTCCCTCCTGGTCTGCCATGCGTCCTCCATGCATTACCTGCAGTCATCGGTTTTTGCTTAATTCTCTTGGTATTACCACTTCCCTCCTTAAAGCCTGGTGGTGCCCTTCTACACCTCTGTCGGGTCAGGTCTCATCCGGTCTTCTTTCCTTCTAGCTCCGTGCTTAGCGCATAAAGGGCTCACTGAATACGTGGGTGGTGTAGAAAAGCCTGGCTTTTTCTCTCCCAAGGGCAGCATTTGATTCTCAGTGCGTAAGTCCAGTGCCCGCTGAGAGAAGTTCCTTAGTAGTTTCTCTCAATTTCAAATCATAATGGCAGAAAGAGTCATAACCCATGACTGTTTTAAAATTCGGATTCTTGTCAATGTGTTAGCTGAATTGTGTTTCTCTGAATTCTCACGTAGAAGCCCTAATCCCCAGTACTTCAGAATTTGACTACACTTTGAGGTAAGATCTTCAGCAGGGTGATTCAGTTAAAATGAGGTCGTTATGTAGGCCTTAATCCAGTCTGACTGGGCCCTTATTTGAGAGAATTTAGACACAGACCCCCACAGAGGGAAAACTGCGATGACACAGGGGAGACGTCGTCTACAGGCCAAGCCGTGAGGCCTCGAAGGACCCTGTCCTGCTGATGCTTCGACCTCCGGCATCTTGACTTTCAGAACGGTGAGGAGTTACGTTTGTGTTGTGCAAGCCACCTGACCCGTGGTACTTTGTCAAGGCAGTCGAGATAACCTAACACACCTAGCATCTTCTGATTCCCTCGGGTTTTAAGTCTTGTATCTAGGGACTTTATTCTTAGCCAAGAGCCGGACCTAGTGATCGCATCGATCCTCTCCACCCAGCTCAGCTTTCTTTGAGGATCCAAAATTCGTCCTCGGAGAAGAGGGCCATCTTTCTCTTTTCCTACTAGATAACAGGCATGAATGGCTACTCAGAGACTTTTTCTCCTCCTCCCGTGTCCACTTTTCTTAAACAAAGCAAGAAGCCATTTCAGATCGTTAGTGCCCATTGATTTTATTGATTTAAACAGATAGTTGAATGTTTTTGGCACTCTTGTTTTGATGGCTTGCATACAGTAAGTTTCTTTGCAGTGGATAACCATCCCAACTACCCCAGCAGATTTTCAGAGAAAGTATTTGCAGCAGTGAATTCATGTGCATTACAGCTTTTTTCCTGGAGGTTCTGGCGATGGAAGAAAAAATACATTGAATCACTAAATTTGGTTTGTTCAGCTTTATCCTAGTTGTATTACAGGCTGTTGTGTTCTCACATCTCAAAATGCCTGTCCTTTCCTTCTTCACCAACCCCACCCAACTCCTCATATGAAAAAGAACATTGGGATTTTGCTTTTCTGCTCAGGTCAGAATTTTTTTTTTTGAGCCTGAGTCTCACTCTGTCGCCTAGACTAGAGTGCAGTGGCACACTCACGATTACTGCATCCTCGACCGGCTCAGGCAATCCGTCCACCTCAGCCTTCCAAGTAGCTGCACCTACAGGCCCATGCCACTCTGCCTGCCTAATTGTTTGATTTATTATAGAGACGATGTCTCACCAAGTTGCCCAAACTGGTCTCGAACCCCTGGGCTCTTGTCTCCACCTCCCAAAATGCAGGGATTATAGGTCTGAGCCACTGTGCCTGGCTCAGGTCAGGTTTTTTGGATCATCCCAGATTACATAATTTCAGATTGGTCAAAGACCTTGAGAAGGTACATCTGAATGCCTTGCTATAATATTTCTGTTGTTTCAGGTGGATATGAGTCCCTTTTATTGTGTAAATCCAGAAAGAGAACCTATAATCGTTTTTTGAGTGCCAGAGATTCACTTTCTAGGTCTACTCTAAACTCTTCATGCTACAATTCTGAACGTGTTTCATCTTGTCCTACCATGTAGAGAGAGAGGGTAGCTAGTCAATGTGTAGGGTGACTCTTATTCCTGAGACAGAAGGCATGGTTAAGTCGCCTTTCAGCCTTCTCTTTTCCAAACTGAGCTGTGTTGGTTATTTAGCCTTACAGGACTGACTTTCCATTTTGAACTACATGTTAACGCCCGCCAGTAGAACCTCTCTGTGTTTTTCAGGACTCCTTTTAGAGTGAGTCCAGGCCTGGTTGAAGTTGTCAGCACAGGATAAGATAGTTCCTACACTTGGTGCACTGTAGATATCAATTTTAGGTGTTTTGGTTTCACGCTTAATTCTCATTTTTTATTTAGCTAGTCAAAATGCATAGCAATTAAGCAAAATAAGATGATATAATTTTTCTCTCTGACATAAGTTAGTCAACAGATAAGCTGCAGATAATCTTATTATCTTGCACCGATTCTCAGATTCAGAGAGATTAGAAAGATATCCCACTGACTGGAAGCAAAGCCAAGAACTTCTCTGTATCTAACTTGAAGTCTTAACATTGCCCCTAATTGGACAGTAGGAGGTAAATCATTTGACTTCTTTCTATATCATTTATTTGTGAAGCTGGAGAAAAGGGAGATCAAGATTAGATGGTCTCTAAGTTGTCTTCTAGCTCAGACACTGTATTGTATGCTCTACTAATAATAGTAGCAGTCAGTAAATTGTGGCTTTTAGTGGGTAAGAATATTTGTAGCGAACGAGGTTAACTAATTTGAAACACACATATAGAGTACTGCCTACTGTGTGCTGGGCATTGGCAACACAATAATAGAGCAGACATTTTCAAAGAGTTTATGCTTTATTAGGGAAACAAGACATAAAAATAAGAGCAATTGAATATTCCTGGGACTGAGGTAGAAGTCTGTCTGAGGCACCTCGGAGGTAGAAGTCTGTCTGAGGCACCTCGGAGCACAGTGGAGCGCTTGGTCAGTTTGCTTGGTGGCAGGAGCATCGGGAGAGGGCCAGTGATGAGACGGACCAGGAACTTGCATGGTGAAGTGGTGGGTAGCAGCTGGTGTAGAGTGACGAGGGCAGGTGGGAACAGAGGTGCCTTTGTTCCCCGACGAGGCAGAATATGAACAGGTAGTACCTGGGGTGGAGGAGTGGGAACAGGGGTTCATGTGGGGTTGTTTTAAAATGTGGGAGTGCAGAGCCGATGTAAAGGCTTTTGGGAGAAGAGCCCATAGAGAAGGAAAGTTCTGAAGGAGGTGAAGAGGAGGTGATTAAGAACACACTTAAGAACAAGGCTGACGCAGTTCTTCTTCTTTGGAAAGCTTGCCCATGGCAGGTCTTTCTGCCATGAATCTTCCTTTTTCCTTCTCCTTTTCTCGCCAGTAAGCTTTGTTTTAAAACTAAAAAAAAAGGAACGAGGCTGAGGGGTGTGAATAGATGGATAGGTGACAGCACGAACAGCAAAATGCCAATTGTGGCACCTCAGAAGCAGATGAACGGCTGTTCACGGTGCCATTCCTTCAACTTTCCTGCATGTTTGAAAATTTTGTAATACTGGGACATAATGGGAGGGAGTAGGTTGAGAGTTTAGCTTTGAACAGAACAGAGGGGATACTTATTCCGTGTTGGGCAGGAAATTATGGAAGGTCAGGTTAAAGCCTCGACTTCTCTCGCCTGCTGGGGCTGGGGGCCAGAAGAGAAGCACTGGCAATGAAGGTTGGAATAACCGTTGTCGCGTGGGGAGGGCACGGCACAGACCTGGGTGGTGGGGTTGCCGCGTTGGCAGTTTTCTCTGGTAGTTATCAGGAGACAGCAAGCTAATGGATCATTGAAGGGCCAGTAGCTTAAGAAAGTGAGTGGGACGAGTGGATGGGCTGGCAAGGGACCCCCTTTGGTGTTTATTAGCTGTCCGTTCTGGAACAAGTCTCAGCCTCCCTTGTGCTCTGTTCAGAAGATTTTTATTTTATTTCATTTTCAAGATGTGGGGTGCAATTCAGGACTAGGTACATAAGTGGTCATCATACAGGTAAACGTTGGGCCTCCCTTTGGTTCCCTCTTCGCCTGGTTTGAGATCAAGTATGGAAGATTATGTTTTGTTCTCTATTCATTACTCTTTTTTTGAATTAAATGAGATTAAAAGCAATGTTACAAAACTTTGTTAGCACTATTATGGTTAATATTCAACTCAGGTAATTTTGTTGTCTTCTAGGTAAAAGAAGAGCGTCCAGAAAATATCCCAGATTTAAAATTGCTAGTGGAGAAGAAATTTTTGGCTTTACAGAGCAAGAATTCTGATGCAGACTTTCAAAATAATGAAAAATTTGTGCAGTATAAGCAGCAGCTAAAAGAACTAAAGAAGCAATGTAAGTCAACATGCTTTGTTTTGGTTTGGCTTTTGAGATTAGGGAACCGACTTGATCAGTCCCAGAACAGTGATTTTATAAAGCTGGCTTGTCCACTTGGCTTCATCCTTCCTAAATTGCTTTTTATTGTTGTTGCAATTCTGTATTTTGTCTAACTTTTGGTTCAAATCGGCCTGTTCATTTCTGAGAGCCAACAGTTTCCACAAAGTGCTATGAAGATTTCCCCCGCAGCCTGTCACGTGTCCCGTCTCACTGCAGGAGAGGGGCACTGGGACCACTAAATAAAACTGGAAGGCCTTGTGTCTAAGTCAAGTGGCCTCTCTCCCACTGTAGACTGCTGCACCAGGTTATAGCATCACTGTCCTTGGAGTCTAGCTTTGCTTCTTTTTCTTTTCAAACATGGATCAGAATCCCCTGCATGCGTTTGACCTGGTGGTGGTACAGACCCTGTGTGCTTTCTAAACTCATGGCCCTCTAGCAAACTATTGCATTCAGGTTTTTTAATGAACATTATTTTGACTGAAAAATGAGAGGGAGGAAAATGACTTATTATACAGAAAAAAAATTGTAAACAGTATTTGCAGAGATAATGTACCTTTTCTGCGCTGCGCAGTCTATGTGCCCTTTCTTTTTCTGTTTTTCCATGCAATCCGTGTAACAGTTTCATGTATATTGATTTCTTTTCTGTTGGCATCTGTTAGTTCTGCTGTCTTTGCTTCTTTTAGGATTGAGGTGCTTGTATTTTTTAAAGGACTGGATAGTGAAGCGAACAACTTGTTCTCACTGTTGCCTCCCATCACCCTCCTCTCCATACTCATGGAGTGGGAATGTCGTGTGAAGGTCACGTGGGTGCACTTCATGTCCTCATGTGTGCTTTGTATAGGGATTCATATTTTGAAATAGGCTTTCTTTTCAATATAAGCATTTTCTTTAAATTGATGCTGAGATCTCAAAAAATGACTGAGGAAGCTGCTTTGCTTTTGTCTATTTTACAAGTAAGTTTCACAACTTGGAATGTTTTGCAATCATGGTGAGACTTTTGCTTTTACTGTAGATTTAAACAGTAAGCATTTTCCCCATATTTTAAGTATATTTTTGGTTTTTTGTTGAACATCACAGCCACCAACATCTTTCTAGTATAATTTTCACTACTCCCTTAAATGGGCAATAATCCCCACAACAGAGACCAATTTGCCAATGGCTTTTTGGTCTTAAAGATGCCAGTGAAATTGAGTTTCAGTGTTGGTCAAAATAGCCAATTGCGTTGTATCCTACTCCTTGGAGCCAGTACTCGCGGATCATGGCAGACTTGGCGTCTAGACATAATTTATGACTTTTAAGATATTTTATAATATAGATAGATAAGGGTAAATATCCAAAAGTATAAACTTTGTCCTTTTTTATTGTTTATAGAGTTACTATTCCATGAGAGAAATGATGAGGACTTTTAGAATCCTATACTTCTGGGGAAACACTTTCTAGTTAAGGACATCTATGCAACCAAATGATAAATGTTGGAGCCATGGTTATTGCTTCTTTGAAAGAAAGAAAAGGTTTCCCGGGGCCAGCAGACAGTTGGATAAACAGTTAAACCTTATGACAGCGTAAATTTATATTGAAAGACATGCTTCCTTATTTAAGATTTCCCTGTAATTGTAGCACTGGAATTGAAATAACTTTCCTTTTTGTTTCCCCTTAAATATTCTTCCAGAAAAATTTTAAAACACAAATAACAGAAGCAAAATATTAATCCTCTTTAAAGTGCTCTATTAGCTGTGTTTGCCTTACTTGAAAAATGTAATTTTTAGTGCAGTATTATTAGTAGTCTGTTAAACTCACACCATGTCTAGTAGATTGTATTTCTTTAGAAGTAAGGCCGCTCTGATGGTTAGGATCAGGCTTCTACAATATGTGTGGCGCCAGGTCAGAGGTACCCTCTGGTTTATAGATGAGTGAGTGACCAGTTTTGATCAGTGTTCTAGAGGCCAGGAATTTGTTTTTAAAGATTGGAAAACAGAGGCCAGGGAGAGATACTTGCTTCCAGTTCCAGCTACAAAGGACGGACTTAAGTGTTTCTGTGGCCTGTAGAGATCTGAAGAGTTCTTTCATGGACACCATTACCATGTTTTCACCAACTTTATTTTGGGGGAACACAAATACATGAGATTAAATTTTATCAAATCAGGACTGTATTAGAGAACTGCCAAGAAACCCTTAGGTGGGGAGAGGTCAGGGTGGTGGCTGGGCCCGTGTGCCTGCCGGGCCGTTCTGCGTGGTGGGCAGGCCGAGGTCCTCTGCTGGAAGGAACCAGTCAGCCCAGCTGCAGCTCAGCAACTGCTTCTCACACTTGATGATGTCATGCTTCTTTTACAGTTTTAAAACTGTGACAGCCCCAAAGGGTTTCTGTTTACATGCCATCTATCTGTTGGCATTTATCATTTTAGGAATGTAGCAACTATTAATCTATTAAAAAGAGTAAGCCTCTTACGTGTTAATATATAAATCATTTGATGTAAAATAGCACTATATATTTTCTAAGCATAAAGGAAAATTATTGAGAAGAGTGGCATTGTTTTTTACATTTTGGCAAATCTCTTCTATTTTTGGCTTAACAGAAGACAACTGGATTCTCATATTTGCTTCTGCATGTGGTCTAGTTAGTTGAAGAATACAAAGAAAACCTGGTCGCTACACTGGCAGCTGAACTTGCTGAGAGAGTTCTGCAGATCCCCGGAGTTCTCACTTTGAGAACCCCAGATCTAGGCCAAGAGTCAGTCAATTGTGGCCTGTGGGCCAAATCTTGCTAACCTCCTGTTTTTCTATGGCATGTAAGCTAAGAATGCTTTTTATATTTTTTAATTGCTAGGGGAAGAAAATCAAAAGAGGAATAATGTTTGTGACCTGTGAACGTGACTTAAACATCTACGAATAGCTTAGTTGGGACACCGGCACCCCCATTCTATAGCTTGCATGCCCCCCGTGACTGTTTTCACACTGTCGTGGCAGAGCCAGGGAGGAGCCGCCCGCACCAGCTGGTCTGCAGAGCTTGTCACAGTTGCTGCCTGACCCTTGATCATATTCAGAAATAAGGATGCTTTTTTTAAAACAGATTTTCCCCTAAATGCCGCCCATTAGTCTCGGGTGTGTTCAGAATGCTTTGAGCGCTCACAGTGTATGGCTGATGGCAGTTGATGCTCTGAAATAAGCAACAGGAGGGACCTTGCACTTGCAGAAGACAGTGTATACAAACGTGGTATATAATGTGAGAACTGCTAATAGCACATAGCGGATCAAGTCGGAACCAAATGTTATGCAAGGTGGTAGGGTCTGTGGGAATGCAGATTTGACCATCACACGCCTGCTGCCAGACAGTGGGCGGGGCTCTCGGAGTGTTCCGAAAGAGGCTGAGGCTGGTTCAGGCCCCACGGAGGGTGTGTGCTGAGAGAACACGGTGGGACCCGAGAGAGCAGTGCAGACGTCGTTTTTACCATCCCCAGAATACAAACCCAGCCAGGGCACTGCTCATTTAATGATTCTGTTACCCTAAAGGGAATGTACTTGGGCTGCACACAGTAGTTACGTATAGGCCACAATTTACTGACCCTTGGCCCAGATATGGGGTTCTCAAAGTGAGAACTCTGGGGGTCTGCAAGTTCAGATATAACGGGCATTAGATAGAACTGCTTTGAACAAATAATTTTTTCCCTTGGAGGCCCAGTGTCCTGTATGCTGGAGATAATTGTGTCGTCTCCAGCTTTCACCTCAGGACCATCACCAGTGAGATCCTGACTCTGCAGACTCTGAAAACTGACTTTAGGTTTAAGTCATTATTGAGAAGGAGCTCAAGCAACATACTGCAAAGGGCATGGCTCAGCGGCCCACGGAGCTGGGTGGGAGTCACTTGAGCCTGGGCCCCTAGGCACCACTCCTTTCAGACGCCTCTAGTTCTTGGGATCACACAGAATCAAGCTTGGCTAAAGACAACTCTTACACCTGTAGACAAGACGGCCAGGATGGTGATGGCGGTGATAACTGAGTTCAGGAACAGTTTCACAGGAAAGAATTTCCTGAATAGTAATCATATTCTTACTAACCCAAGTTGTGAAATAAACAGTGTGATTTGTTTAAAGACAGATATAACCAGCCATTCTTGAGTGTATTAAATACATAATTTAGTGTATCTAAACCGTATGTTAAGGTAATCTCTTTTCCTTGCCTTGCACTGTCTCCACTCTCATAACATTTGCAATTTTAACAGCAGGAGAACCTATTCAGAATGTGTGAGCACCTCATATAGACACTTTTTCAAGTCCTCAAGCAATCTTCCTGGTGTCCTTTATTCAATTACCTGTTAACGTGATTCACAGGCATTGCAGGTTTTAGTACAGATCAGCAAAGCAGAAATTGAGAGCAGTAGACAATAACTGACACTTAGAAGCTTTCAAAATACAAGGACTTTTCTTTGTCGTCAAAAATAGAATTGACTGTGAATCTGAGCTCGTTAGTTTTAAAATAACCTGATATGAAATGTAATATCGTTGGTATATTTAAATGCCAAGAATAAAGGCAAACCTATCTTTTTTTAAGGAAAAAATGTGAACCTTACAGTACTCACCACAAATTCAGACAATACATTTAGGCTACTGTTATATGCAGAGTATAAGATATGGAGATAATTGAATGCATGAATGAAACTTATAAATCATTTTGAGTGATAGTGGCATTTGTATCAGACGCATACTGACACCTAGGAGTTCACACTGTAATCTAGTAATTATATGGATTCACTTTAAGCACACCCAGGCTAGATCTCACAGCTGATAAATAGGGAGTGGCCATTCGCTTCACAAAAGGACTCACTCAAGGAGGCCATTAGGGAGGGAGCGACTTCTCTGGCGCCTTAGAATAGCTTTCCTTGACTCTTCCTGGCTGGTGGCTTTCCCTTTCCTCCAGCGGCTATTCAGAACCACAGTGTACTTCCACACTGGCAGGGGCGGTCG